CTCTCCCCTCCCCCGCCTCCCCCCACCTTCCTCCGCGCGTGCCTGCAAGAATGGAGCGCCCGTCGTACGATCCGTTCGGTTACTACCAGCGGCCAGCAAAGTGCATGGCCAACCCGTGGTGGGTCAAGGCCTTGTTTGTCCTCCTCGCCGTCCTCAGCTTTGTCACCGTCGTCCTTCTCTTTGCCCTCACCGCCACACACTCGAGCAACGAGGGCTACGGCAAGAACTGATCGGGCCTTGACCGCATCTATCTTTGCCTGCCGACTACGCCAGTCGCTCGACTCTGGCCACCCTATCTCCGTCCTCTGTCCAAGAAAGCAGACTACATGCTCTCTTGCTCTCGCTCTGTCCCCCCGCTCTCTGCTCTCATCGCTTCATGATCGCCTCGTTCCGTGGCTATGGCCTCCCGTCACTACCGCCAACCCTGACCACCATCATTAAGCCGATGATAGCCTCCCAACCCACCCACCGGTACCATTACAAGCCACATACACTGCATATTCTGCAACCATCCTCCATTGCGAATCCCCCTCCCTCCTCCCCCCCCCCCCCCCTCCCCCTCCCTCCCCCCCCCTCCTCTCCCCTCCTTCCCTCCACCCGACTGACCGGCCTCTCCCCCGCCGACCCCCACCCGCCTACCCTCACCTCACCCAGTGGCCACACTCCTCGCCTTGTCACCATGCAGCGCACACAGTACGTCCTTTTCACCCCCTCCTCATGTACCACCCTCACCACATACGCACACAAACCCTGTCCTTCTCTCTCCCTCCACCCGTTCCTCTCCTTGCTGCTTGCTTCTCTTTGGCCATGGCCGACTGCGACCTGTGACCAAAAACTGGGTCGCAGCCAACCAAGGAAGGACACGACCTTTTCCAGGACACACTCCCGCCTTTCTCCACTCTCCCCCATACACACGCACGCACACACACACACATCGGCAGGAGTTCAACCTACGTATACTCACATTCATATTTGTGCACGTGTTCTTTACTGTGACATCCTCCTTGTGGCGAGGTGGTGTACAGGCAGCCCATCGTGACGGGCACCTCGGTGCTGGGCATCAAGTTTGACGGCGGAGTCATGGTCGCGGCAGACACGCTGGGTACGTCGCCTGATAGGGAGGAAGGGGGAGGGGATGTAGAGCCGAGAGAGTGTGTGTGTGTGTGTCTGTATGTGTGAATGTGAGTGTGTGTCTGTGTGTCTGTGTGTCTGTGTGTGTGTGTGTGAACTTATGGTTGTGGCTGGATATGGATGTAGGCTCGTATGGCTCGTTGGCACGGTTCCGCGACCTGCGGCGGGTGCGGCAGGCCGGCGAGTACACGCTGCTTGGCGGGTCGGGCGACTACATGGACTTTGAGGCCATGCTGGAGTACGTGGACGAGCTGCTGCTGGAGGACACGACTCTCGACGCGCCGCCGTCGTACACGCCGCGCGAGCTGCACCAGTACTTGGCCCGGATCTACTACAACAAGCGGTCCGAGTTTGATCCACTGTGGAACCAGCTAGTGGTGGGCGGCGTCCGTGACGGCGACGTCTTCCTTGGATACGTCGATCTGCAGGGTACACACTACGAGGACGAGACCGTGGCTACCGGATACGGCTCGTACATCGCCCGCCCGCTCCTCCGCGAGGCCTACCGCGACGACCTGACAGAGGCCGAGGCGCGCAAGGTTCTCGAGGACGCCATGCGGGTCCTCTTCTACCGCGACGCCCGTACAATCAACCGCATCCAGATCGGTGTCGCCACCGAGGCCGGCGGCATTGACATCTCCGAGCCCTTCGAGCTGGAGACCGATTGGACTGTCGGCATCCGCAAGCACTGACCGCCGCTGCCAACTGTTCGAGCAAAACTCCCCCCCCCCCTCCCCCCCTGT